ATTACATTATTTAACTGATTATCGTACACCTTTATCCAAAACCCTGTACCTTTTATTTGGTAGATGTTGGTTGTGTCTGTCTGTGACACTCCGGTTCAGTGTGAACGCAAAGTAAAACTCTGATCACATGACCACTTCCTCTGGCCCTCTGATTTACAGCCATACAGTGCAGCATGGGTCAGCTACTTTAAACCATTTTCCGAGTCACAGAACCCCCCGCCCCCCCCACAGGACCCTGCAGACTCACTGGCCACCTGTAGGGACATCTACCCTCTTAAAGTACCTTCCTACACACCAGTGGTCCAGCCCTGGAGTGCAGAGGGCCGATCCTGGGCACAGCGGGGCATCTGGAAATGGGTGGACAGGGCCGGAGTGTAAGTTGTAAGATATGAACCCCCCGCCAAACCTGCTCCACTCCTGAGTGCACCTCTAACAAGTCAATAATTGACTACTGCATCGTCACAGAAAGGGACATTGTCCAACAGCTGGAAGGGGCCTGTCATGTTCAGCACCTAGACAAGGCATTGTTAAAATTTAAACATGAACCATTTCACTGTAGATTTAGCTACAAAATATATCCCCAATTCATGAAATTTACTTATCACTGAAGTATCCTGCATTTGTGACACTGAAGTACTGACAGTGAACACTAGAGGGCCCATGAAGGCCAGGAATTGGAATATCAAGGCAGAAAGTTCCAGAACACTGTCATGCATTTGTATGTGCTGACTCACTTTATTGTGTACCAACATATAAACAATGGAATTTTCTTGGGAATTGCAGCTTTTGTTCTAGCACAGTCCCTTGCCAGACACCTCTGGCTGATTTTCAGTTGTCCCATCTGCCTTGAGTGTGGGTCAGCTTTTAGGAACCACTACACAATCCACAGGGAGCCATTCAGGTCCTTGGTGGAGTCTCCTTACAACCATAGCTGATGGATGGTCTCTTGGGATTCTGCTCTTCTCCTTGGCTTTATGAGGATGTGAGGCCGTGGGTTTATTCATTTGATTGCCTTGTTTCGCTGTACGCATTCACCACCCCTCAGGGTCCTGCTTGCCCCACAGCCAGGGAACTGCAGCATGCCCTGAAAGGTTTAATGTCCTCCATAAGTGCTTCAGCCCAGCACTGTCTCGCCCCCGCCCAGCTCTGACATGTTTGACCTATGTCCCACAACCCAGAGCCTGAATGCAGTATTATTTGGGGGGGGGGGCGCTTATTTTTCTTCCTGTATTTTCTCTTATTTCATGACCGGTCCCCCTTGCCGTCTCCCCTCAGGTCCCGCTCTGGTGTGTGGCCCCTGCTTGTCCTGATGGGCCTACTCCTGGATCTGAGCAGCTAGCAGAGACTGGAGGGCTTTGCTCTGGACTCTCTCGGGCCCCTCAGCCACCCACTGATCCATTCCCCACCCTGACCGACCCTGCACCTGATTACAAGGTACACTGCTCTGCCACACCAGCCACTGCTAGTGATATTATGACAGCAGGGGACTGGAGGTCTGCATGGTGTTTCGAAAAAGATCCGTGACAGCAGCCTGCAGGTTCAGCTAGTGAACTTAAACTGGTATTCCGTTTCTAAAGAAGGAAAAGAAAAGTGAAGATCAATCTGTAAATGAACCCGATATGGACGGTGCACCTATACAAATCAGGAGCTTACAAAATAGCTACCGGTTCTGAAACTTCAGCTTTGCTCAGATAAACCCAACAGGTTACGTTCTTCTTTTGTTTTCTGTTGTCCGTCTTGCGTGACTGAGTGACAAAATGTATGTGAGAACATTTCAAAATCGCTTCAGGAACAACTGCCAGAAAGAAAACAGTATCGCTGAGTGTATTTGCTCTTTGTGCGTTTCCTCACTGAATGCCTTTTTGCTACACGCACTTTCAGATGATAAGCATATTCTCACCGGCTGGAAGAACGCAGGGGTGAAGTTCGTGCCTTTCTGCCAGTTTCTGTCATAAAAGAAAAAACGGGGTCGAGTGACGTTCTGTGGGAGGGGCTAAAATATTTTCAGACCATGCAGCCCTATAAATGAAAAACATTGTCAAACGAAATCTGTGTTATCCTACATTAATAACCAGCGATCAGTCTCTGTGCGAAATCATATTGTTTCATATTATATTAATTCATATTATATAGGCAGATGCAGCCTATCATTATTATCCACCGTCTTTTCATTATTTTTTCCATAATCTTTTGGTGTAATATCGGCCCAGTTTTTCTGTTTAGTAAATTTCAGTACACATTCAATCAAATGCAGACAATGTGAGCAGTTACGTGTTTATTCTAAATCGTATTCAATATAATCCGTTATGCTCGATTTTATTGAGCCATGTCTACAAAGCGAGGGTATTCAGCACTGGCCCTCAGCATGGCCTAGTTTTCGCTCGATATAATATAATTACTTAATTATTTAAATACTATCTTAATTGCTTAATTTGAGTGATTATTTTGATAGTACCTCACCTCACCTGTTTTTTCGGACGCTAATGAAAACGTTCCCAAAAATACCCCGAAGGGTCCGGCCTTTGAAGAACTCCAGTATATAAATGGATAATCTTTTGGAAATTGGGGATATTTCCCTCGTAATAATAGCCTACAACTCTTAGTAATAGAGGAACAGTATATGGGTAATTGTGTCACCCAGCTACGAATAAATCAGTTGTTGTTGCCTAAAATTACTAACAATATCAATACATATAATACTACAAATAATCACACTTTCTCAAGTAAGTTGAAGGAAACATCTACGGTAATCTCCCCATTTGTCCGTTAAAGACCGACTTCCAAATACAAAACACTACACTGCGCGGTGACTAAGCTATAAAAGCAAAAGCAATGACAGAATTTGACAAATTTCGAAGCACTTGGTCGCGCCTTAATGATGCACGTACATATGCCTTAATGGTTTTAACCCACTCCTATTATCCTAAATCACATTTACTCAAAATCGGAACTTTGTGCGACCTACTTATTTTAATACCGATAGTCCCTAAGGGGAGCAACCTTAATAGATCTGAAAATGGAGACCACATAAAGCATCTTCGTTATTAAATGTTTTTAATTAGGTAACGGGGGAAAGTGCTCCCAAATGTAAGTAGCTAAATATAATTGCACCCCCTTGGTAGTTCTAAGACCCAAATCCATGAAAACATCTAGTTTTAGTTTTTCCTAAATGGTAACCCACCGTATATGTTTTTTTAAATTTAGTGACTTGACACTTAATTCCCCTTTTATATTCGCCAGATCCCCCGAGAATCGGCACGCGCCACGCGCCAGGCAGCAGAAAATGGAACCTGTCCCTCTGTAGCACGCGGCTGATTAGCTCTAGCTTCGGGAGCGGCACTAATCAGCATACCTCTGTTTTTTAAATGTGTACGTTACCAATTAAAGTAAATTACTTTTCTTATAACATGAATAATCATCTGAGACATTTAAGTGTTTTTTAGCTGGGCGAGAACAAAAAAAAACTGTTCAGTCTTCACTCTTCCGTACAGCCTCCTGACACAGATGGCGTAATTGCACCGGGAATACTACAAGTTTAATTACCTGTTACCTCTACATAGTTGTTTCGTTTGACCAGACCAGCAACGCAACACAAAGCACCGGAGTTCATCAGTTATCCACGAATGACAGATTCCGTTTATGCCAGAATGACAGTATGCATTTCTATATATATATTAAATATATATACATACACCCAAAGGTCTTGGTACAAACAATAAGCATAATAATAAGTTTGGCGAAGAAATTAATTCTGAGCACAGAGAAAATATGCTGTTTTTAATATAGGCCTATTTTTATTCCGCTAATTTGGCTAGTTCTGTTCAGCTGTAGTGGTTTTCATTCTGCATGCGTTGTCGCTGACTTTGAAACTTAAATTCTCTACACACTGTGCTAGTTTCTTTGTAATGACATTCTGTCCTTGGAAAATGGATCATTTAGTTGCTTCCACGTTTTTTCCTCCCACCCTTTTCTCTCAACCAGGAGGTCTTGTTACTGAATCGTTTAATGCCCCATCTTTGTGACTGGTCGCGCGCCGAGTAGAGGGTTCTTTCAATTGCTCTGAGACGTGAGACTCCACTGGGTACGGAATGGGATATCAGTAACTTTTACACTGGGGAATTTGCCTGGGGCGTCTTTCAGATAATTTCAAAAATAGTAACACAGCTTCAAGCGGAATATACGAATGAAAGACTAGGTTTAGGTGTAACTGTTAAACGAGTTGAGATTTGTTTTATTTTAGGTTATAAAATAAATTAGAATTTAGCTATTCAAATGTTCTAATTTAATTCTTAATTAAGATGAAATCTGAACAGGCGAAAGTATGAAAGTGCCAATTTTAAATGGATTGGCTAAATATTTTCAGCGAAAGGACTTGCTAGCCTATATATATTTCCTGGTATCTATACAACCCCTCGTTGTACAAGAAATCCAATCCAATTAACGTACGATTCAAAGACAACAGCATTTGCCTTCTAGGGATTTGATTTTTTACTTAAACCAGTCAGTGCTTTCTAATGTAATTTGGCGACAGTGGCACTTTGGTGAAATTAACTCCGACGGGTAACGCGGCAGGAGATATCCCGCTACATTTTATTACACGGCTACTCCACACACGCTGAAATATTGCCGTAAACTTTCGGTTTGTGAGCATTTTATTGTGTCACCATGATTTAATAAGCTGTGCTAAAATATTGGATTACATCCATCCATCCATCCATCCATCCACTTCCACTACTTATTCATTATATAGGGTCGGGTGTATTGGTCTATTATACGTAATTTTATTACTATAGGTGTGTGAAATCTCAGTTGTCAAGACGGCGCGAGTTCACTACTTGCTATGATACACTAAAATGCAAACTTTTGATTTTGCTGTACTTTATGAAAGTGTGACACCTCCAAGAATCGACGAGCTGAAGAGCTACATTCTCATGAATATTAATGAGCAACCTAATGAGGCCGTGACGCGGGGCCCCACCCCGGAGGAGATGGCTTTTTCACGGAGTTGTCACGTCGTTCTGCTCCATTCAGGGAGCTTTAAGAAAGAAGAGAATCATCTACTAGCAGCACACCGGACTACTTTCCAGGTAGGCAGTTCTGCCTCATTGCCGCTGTATTTGCTGGGTTCTCAGGTATTTAGTGACCGTGTCGTCTTTTCAGCTCCAGGGGAAAACAAATCTGACTTAGGCTAGATGAGTTGTCTAATTAATTCTGCTAGTCGCTAGCGGTATATCTTAGTTGATGAAATATATCGCTAATCTTACATAAATATGTAAGTTGTGGCCAATTGTGTCTACAACGTGCTCCATGTTTTGAGACCGTTGTTATCGAACTTTGTTAGGCTGTCAGTATAATAAATTATTTGGATCGTATCAGAACATTTTAACTAGCATTAAACAATGATTCAATTAATATAGCTTAACCCCAATATGCAAGAAGTTTGGTATTAGTTTAAATAAATCATGAAGTTAAGCTCGCCTTGCGAACGGGAAGTTTAATAGGTATGACCGTTTATATTTAGTGGAATAACTCTCTTCAGTCAGAAGTTAAGTCTGTCGGTATATTTAACCAGTCATTCGTCTGGCTGATAGTGTTGCCCTTTTTGACTGTTTTGGCTATAGATCATAGCTCCCTTCATTACTCACATTCGAGGGGGTTCCCATGTAGCGGTACCCGGCGGTACCCGGTAGAGTGGAAGATGGCCAGTTACCAAGTAATTGGAAATTAAATTTATGGAGAGGTTATGGATTAAATACTTTCCAGACGCATTTAACTGAATGCTGCTGCTGCTGTACATTTAGAAAATGTAACATGCTTTATGTTTGTTAGTGAATTTATTTGTGTAATGTTATTAATTAATTTACTGATAGATGTTATAAGGAATTGAGAATAATATTAAGGAAGCCTATACGTGGCAATGCTATCGCTGAAGAATGATGCTTGACTTTCCAGGGAAATGCGCATCTTAAATATGGGTTATTATTAGCGTCGGTGGCTCTTGCGCTGGTTGCGCGTGACGTGGATACGGTACCCAGGCAAGAATCGCACGTGCTCGGCATCACGTGCCACGCTGATTTTTAATAGTTTTTAATCATGACTCAATGGGCGGGTGTGTATTCCCCTATCAACAGTATTTTTGAACATCAATTTTATACAATTTCTAAATAAGTCGGTGTCGAAGTGATGCCCCGCAAAGTGGAAAATATTATAGTCTATATAAACGTGGCATTGCGCAATAGAGTTGAAGAAAACTTTGGGTGTCTCATTCTGTATTCATTGTCAGAGTAAAGCAAAGTTACATAGATTCTATCTATTCATCTGAATGACCCTAAAATGAATTTCACTCAGACCCTCTTGAAGTAGCACAACCCAGACCGGTCAAGAAAGATAAGTTTCTTTGCGTTTTAACTTATGTTGTTCCTATAGTTCAGATAAGAAGAAGGCTTAATTAAGTTACAATTTTTAACTAAAACTGTAAAAGTAAAATGAAAATCTTCGATACGGTGGTAATTTGGCTTGTGTTACCCGTTGAGCTGCGGATTCATCGCAGTGCCTCATCTATCCTGCACAGCCTGCAGTGTTCGCGCGGACGGATGCGCCGTGTAGCGCCACTTGCTGCATGTTCAAAAGAGAATTTTGGTAATTTCTGCTTACCTGTTAATCGTTATTGGACATTATAACTGCTCACAGCCAGCAGACCGCGACTTCTGCGCTAGAGTTGTGACGTTCGCGAACGAACCGATTCTTTTGAACGGCTCATAAACATGAACGATGGGAGCCGAGTCGCGGCTGGAGGGGAGCCGTTCTTTCTGTCGTTCTTTTTTTCCTATGCGTGTTTCACACAGATGCACACAAATTAGCTCCTCCGCGAGACAGAACAGTTATAGGGGGAGGGGCGCACCCAGCGCAGGGGTGCTACTGCCTAACAGCATGATGATAGTTGTGCACGCATCCTTCACTTCCACATTGTGTGGAAGTGTTTGTAGTAAAAGATGTTTTGCACAGAAATTCATTGCAGCCGGCTTTGTTTTTGATGTTTATTTGTGAGTAGGTATTGTATGAATAACATAAGTCAACGTAGCTTTACACATACACACACTTTGTACTAAAGGTAAATCCAAAATAGTGATGTCACTGTCTAAGCAGAGGGATGTTGTGCAACCATATGGAATATAGTACACACATGACAAATGAGGTAATAATCAATATTTCAGAATAATTCAAACTCAGATATTGGTGTGTGATATCTGAGTTTTAATTATTTGACTACAAATCTCACCTCATCATTCCTCCCAGTGATTATTTCCAGGATAAACTGAGATGCCCCCAAGCTGGCTTCTTAAAACTGACTAAATATTTAAAAAGAGCCAAAAGAGCCGTTCTTTCTTTTGAACGGCTCTTTGAAAGGAACGGATCGCCAAGATCCGGATCCCCTCAAAGAGCCATAAATCCCATCACTATTCTGCGCCCTAAATAGCGCGCCTGCACTTTGCCTGGCATTACGGTCCGCTGGCACGGCAGCCCCGCCGGCGAGCTCCGTGCCAGTTAGCAGCGGGACGTGTGGCATTCTCCGATGGCGTAGAGACGTCACTCTAGGAATGCTTAACCGCCCCCCCCTCCAGACAAAGTGAAACTGACATACTAGGTCGACATCCTGCCAGATGATGTCACCTAATTGGCTGACTGGCACTAGGTGCAGGACCCAGAATGGTGCCGTTAGTCCATACCATACAGGAGCTTCTTAAAAGTGGCTCTTTTGTTCATTCAAAAACGGGAGTCTCCGGGACCTTACACTGGCATATATGTACAGTAATAATATATGTCTTAATTTATTATTGGAACCCCTGTAAATGATACACATCGAGAATGCCTGAGAGAAACAGGGGGAATATCTGCAGGGCGCCCTGCCTTCTGACTGTGCTGGCGTTTTAGCTTGGTGTACACGTTGGTTTCCATGTCGGTGACCAGACTGGGCCTGTACCCGGAGGACACAGCGGACAGACTCTTTAAACTTGCTTTGTTTGTCCAGCAGGGGGAGCAGTTTCGATGACAATGGAGCAGGCAGAAGGCGCACTTAAAGTGTTCCAAAATACACACAATATAGTTTGTGTTGTCCCGGTGCTTTTCTTCCCACCAAACTTAACTGCAATACAGTGGATTTTGCCCAAGAACCAGGGCAATGTGTGTGTACTGTGACTCTATTAATTGGCAACTTGGGCAAACAATGACCGCTCCACCTTAAGAGCCAGCCTTTCCTGTGCGGAATACTGGGGATGCATTGTCCCATGTGCAGGGGCAGTGACGCACGTGTCCATTCAGATCTTCGGCTGTTCTGCCCGCCAGTCTGGACGGCTGTTTTTCAATGGAAAATTCCAGCCTGGCCTCAGGCAGTGATGCGGGAAAAGCCAGGCTCCATTCAGCCTGCACGTGTGTGTGGGAAACAGCTGCCCGAGTTCACGCTATCAGCCAGACACTAATCACTGGGTATTCAAACATGAAGGGTCTTTTGTATCCCCCTGCAGTTTTCTGTTTGCTTGTCATGTGATTCCATGTTTGTAAACGTCAAATCAAGCCTGGAAACCTGAATGTGAGATGAATACGGTCAGAGACACTGGACTTTTCTGAAATTTAGTGCAGTGTTAAATCCCTGATAATGCATAGGTCGGCAGTTTTCCCCGAATGCCCCATCATCATATTGGTTAGTGCCCCTGTCCATCATGTTCTGCCCTGAGTGATTGGCCCTGCCCCTACAACCTCTGAGGCCCTGAGTCCCCTGTTTCCGGGCCAACCACCACCTATCCTGAAGCAAAGGGCTCTTTATTGAGCCCTTGCAGTGTGGGAAAGCAGGACGTGAGAGCTGCATGGAATGAGCTGCTGAGGAGAGAATTAGCATGCGGGACTAACGCAAAATCAGGAGTGTGGAGCGAGGTGGAACCAGAGCCAAAGACGTGCAATGAAGTTACTCTGGCACACTGGGACGCGTCATCACCCGTCGTCCGTCGTTGCACGTGTGTGCATGCATGTGTGCAGCGTGTGTGCATGCATGTGTGCAGCGTGTGTGCATGCATATGAACTCACATCCCTTGCTTTGCAGTAGTTATACTCGCTCCAGCAAGAGCCTGGGAGGTGTTTGGCAAGGTCAGCACATTTATCCACTTCCCCTTTAATCCCACCTGACAGTGTTCAGACAGGGGTGCTTACATAAGATCCTTTATTCCTGATCCTTGTGGAAATGGGGGTCATCAGTCGTGTCCCAATCGCTGTCTTAGCCATTACTCAACACTGTTTTTGCAGCTCTTTGCTCAAGAATGACACATATGTGCACACCAAGTTAGGCATTCAAAAAAATTACATTTATTTATTCAACAGACGCTTTCGTCCAAAGTAGCATAGAAGTGAGGAAAACTACCAGGCTGGAGAGTCAAACTCACAACCTTCTGGACAGCAGCACCTACTGAGCTAAACACTGCACTGCATAGAGCTCTGAGGCATGGAGGGGTGCTTACAGAGCCCTCATCTCACCCCCTCAGTGGAACACCTTTTGTGGAAGTCCTAGAAATGGGTAGTCTTCCTAATCAGTGCACTCCCCACCTATCTCGCCAGCAGGCCTTGTCACTTACTGTACATGTTCTGTCACAGGTCCCATCAGACAGCTGACAAGATGCCACACCAGTACCCCACACTCTCCATCGAGCAAAAGAAGGAGCTGCAGGACATCGCCCACCGCATCGTGTCGCCTGGCAAGGGCATCCTGGCTGCTGATGAGTCTGTGGGTCAGTAGCGAGCACTGGGGACACAGAGCTTACTGGCTACAGCTTAAGATCTAAGCAGCATCTTAGCTGTAAGGAATAGCCCAGGCGGAGCAGCTCCTCAGTTCTGGGTGCTCGTGCACACGTTCTCTTACAGGCAGCATGGCAAAGCGGCTCACTCAGATTGGTGTGGAGAACACGGAGGAGAACCGGCGGCAGTACCGGCAGGTCCTGTTCAGCGCCGACTCGCGGATCAATAGCTGCATCGGTGGCGTGATCTTTTTCCATGAAACGCTGTACCAACACGCCGATGATGGGACGCCCTTCGTCCAGATGATCAAGGACAAAGGCATCCTGGTGGGGATCAAGGTATGTCCAGGCTTCTCCAGCCTCTGCAAGGGCTGTAGCTGTGGCTTAGGCTGAGATGGGATCATGTGACCATAGGGTCACAGGATTGAGTCCCAGAAAGAGAATCCTGCACTGTTGCTGAGTGACCGGTCTGGGTTGTGCTACTTCAAGAGGGTCTGAGTGAAATTCATTTTAGGGTCATTCAGATGAATAGATAGAATCTATGTAACTTTGCTTTACTCTGACAATGAATACAGAATGAGACACCCAAAGCTTTATTTCTGATTTCTTCAGGTGGACAAAGGTGTTGTGCCACTGGCTGGGACAAACGGAGAGACCACAACTCAGGGTGAGCGTTTCAGTCCCAGTGTTGGGTTACACTGCTGTATGTTCACCTCACATTCCCATAATCCTTTGTGGCTGTTTACTGCTCTGATTGGACCTGCTTTTAGGGTGAGATGACACCTTCTGTCTTTCTGTTGGCCGTGTTTACTTCTAAGGCTTGGATGGGTTGTCTGAGCGCTGTGCCCAGTACAAGAAGGACGGGGCCGACTTCGCTAAGTGGCGCTGCGTGCTGAAGATCAGCACGACCACGCCCTCCCAGCTGGCCATGACAGAGAATGCCAACGTCCTGGCCCGCTATGCCAGTATCTGCCAGCAGGTGCCGCTCCACCTCACCATTCCTGCACTCTGAAGGGTTTCCCCTTCAGATGTGCTCTGTCATCACCTCCGGCATTCGGTCCACTGCACACCCCAGGTGTGAAATCTGACAGCTTGTCGGTGTGTCCTGGCTTGCAGCACGGCATCGTACCCATTGTTGAGCCCGAGATTCTGCCTGATGGAGACCATGACTTGAAACGCAGCCAGTATGTCACTGAAAAGGTGAGTGCAGGTCCTTTGCGTGATGTTTGGGTCTGGGAAATATTGTACCTCAGAGGTGACTTTCCTAAGTCCCTGAAAGCCATAGAGTGTCACCTGACGCTTTGAAGTGGTTCTAAAGCATGCAGGACACACAGGTGTGCATGTCCACCACTCCTGCAGCTCCTGCAGCTCTGTGTTTGTCCGTCCTACCGAACCCAGGTCCTCACCGCTATGTACAAGGCCCTCTCGGACCACCATGTCTACCTGGAAGGCACCCTGCTAAAGCCCAACATGGTGACCCCAGGCCACGGCTGCTCCGCCAAGTACAGTGCTGTGGAGATTGCCATGGCAACTGTCACTGCACTGCGCCGCACTGTGCCCCCTGCTGTCGCAGGTATGCCACCGCACCTCCACCACTCCTGCACTGATAGGTTGGAGCCATTAACGCAGAAGCATCTTTACTTTTAAAAGTGATGTGGAGCCATTTCGTCGGTCTCATTTGGATATTTAATGCCTGGCAGTAAAATAAACATTTTGAGGTTACTAGTGTAGAACTAAGAACTGTGAGGATTCTTACAAACACCAGCAAGCCTTTGTAGGGATCTACTGGTCCCAAGCCGCTTACCATTTACATTCTTTAAAGACATGTCATGGTTTGTTAGTTGTGAGTGAGGTTTTGATGATTGTAAAGTTTTTTTCCTAGTAAATGTCCTATGTTCTCTTTTAACAGGAAAGTGTTATACAGCTGGAAAAGAGATCTTGAGAGGATATTTTTGTTTTGCTCTGTGCACACCAGTATAGATATGCTCATTTTATATAGTTATGTACGTACCTGGGACTTGCATTTTGAGGCCGTTAAGGCGGAGTGCATCTGTTTGTCTTACTGCCTCAGGAATCACCTTCCTCTCTGGGGGTCAGAGTGAAGAGGAGGCCTCCATCAACCTCAACGCCATCAACAACTGCCCACTGCCCAAGCCCTGGGCTCTCACCTTCTCCTACGGCCGCGCCTTGCAGGCTTCTGCCCTCAGCACCTGGCGCGGGCAGAAGGAGAACGCCAGCGCCGCCACCGAGGAGTTTATCAAGCGGGCGGAGGTGGGTGTGTGCCCCCCCCCGCGCGCCATGTGTCACTCGATATGAATCGGGAATTGATGTGACCAGACTGCCTTGTGTCCCTGCAGGTCAATGGACTCGCGGCACAGGGGAAGTACAGCGGCAGCGGCGACAGCGGGGGGGCTGCTTGCAGGTCCCTCTATGTGGCCAATCATGCGTACTGAGCTCCCAGCCACGCCCAGATTCCAGCTTTCTCCGACCAATAGGATCTTTCACTGCTGAAACCATAGCAACACCCAATCACAGGCTTATGCTGGCTTCAGTTTGGACTTATAATATAATATAATATAATATAATATAATATAACTGGATGGTGATGTTCAAAGAAGATTCACTAAAAAGGTTTTGATTGGAGGAGGTACGTGATATTTATCCCCGGCTGTGAGTCATCGATGTCGCTTACCCAATAAGCTTGTCTTGTCGATGGATTTTAAATGGTTGGCCTAAGTCTAGGTTTGTGAAGTCCCATGACTGTCCTACACCCGGTGAGAGCTGGAAGGCATGCCTCTCCTATGCCAGTATTTCAATAGCTGGAGGACGCAAAGTTCTGTAGACGTGTGTCAGCGTGTGGGATCCATGACTGCAGATCGGGTGGGCTTATGTGATTCCGACATGGGAACCGCCATCTTTAATTATCAAAAAGTAACACATATGAGAAGTTCTGTAAGTCGTGACTCCATTACACATGAATTGCATTATACATACGTACTGTGAATTGGTGGTAAACGCCCGTGCGGTGTTTTCGTGCCGCCCCCCCCGCCCCCATTTCTCACAGCTTCCTGGCGTGGGGACGGTAAACTCCTCTCTGGTTCCGGTGAAGCTGATACCAGAGCTGGGCTGGGCAGAGATAGTGACTCCTGTGAGGAGAAACCTCTTCATTTCGTGGCTGTAGTGTTGTTCTCTATGCACATTATGTACCTAATATTGCAGAGAAGCGTATTAAAAAAGCACATAGAATGAAACTATTGTGGGCCATCTTTTGTGATTGAACTGCAATGGATTCGTTTTTTACTGTTTCATAGTCCAGCTTGTGACCAGCACTCAGTATGAAAACATTTTGTTTCACATTTTAAGAGCAGCTGAATTTTCCAATAGCGATGAAAATAGAAAATGAGCAGAGAGGGTCAAAAACATGGAGATGGCGAAGCTCTCAAACCTGTCACCACTGACCTCTTTGAGGAAACCCGTGTCACTGACTAGTGGGTGGAAAAAAATCCACTGACTCTCAAGAGTTTGGCCCAGCTAACCAATCTGTATCCATGGGAACAGGAATGAAGAATTTGAGAGCGACATTTTGGACGCGTTAGGAAGATGGATTGAATCTGGTTAAAACTGACAGCATATTACATAAGGACGTGTTACACCCATGCTCTGCGGGAAAAAAATTGTAAGAAAACATGAGAAAAGACAGACTACCCAAATTTGTGTCGGGCCCTTGTTTTCAATGCCTGCCTTGCACCTGTTGTTTCCAAGCACCCATGACCCTGTGCAGGAAGGGCGGTGTAGAGGAGGAGTGATTGAATGCCGGAGTTGGGTTCTGTTCAGGCACCCAAGCAGCCCACGGGAGCTGTGAATGAATTAGGCTGGCTGAGGCATTCAAACGTGACATTCCATTTTTATTTTGAATTAGCATTGTGCTCACATTACTGTGCTCTCTCCAGCTTGTTGAAACAAACTAATGAAATGATCCTTTATTTGCCATTAGCACAACGTTTTGCATTTTCCATCTTGCTCTCCTTTGAGACATACACACTCACACACATATATATACACACCGTCAGTCCTGATACAATGCGTAATAACACACCGCGAATCTGTTCTAATGACACTGATATATTAGTACCCAAGTCGAATACAAAGCGGAATCGCATTTACAGTCACAGAGATAAACACTATGCAAACAGCAACATGGTCTTAGCGAGAAACACTGCTTGCACTATGCAACTTATATAGTTGTGAGAGAAGTTTGGGGTTTTGCTATTTATCCCGGGCCCCTTAAACACTCCTGGGGGGTGGGTTAAGGACCTTGCAACAGCTGATTTAGGATCAGGCCAGCACTTTAACGTTCATTAATTCTGTATCTATGATGTCTCCTTGCTTTTCCCAACATAGTGGATGCCACATTTAGTGCATGCCAGAAGACAACAGTCAACATACAAGAGATGCATGTGATAAAGTTTTCAAAATGATTATTCTGTACTCGTTTTTGGTTGCAAAGCTGGTGAATGTGTTGACCTTTTCTCATGGATGCCCTCTTACGTACCATGATTTGGACATCGCCAAGCCCAGTGCAGATGTTGAAACATATCAGTGCAGTGCTGAGAAACCAACTATAGGGCATAACATTATTAAACTGGGTAGAATAATAGTTTGAAAGACTAATTCTATTTGTGTTTGCTGAGGAGCATGGTGTAGATTCCATTCCATTAAAAAATTATCTATGGGTCCAAAAAAGTGACTTGGTGACTATCACATTCCAAATTGAATTCAATTGAATCGATACAATTTCTGAGATACTTTGAAAAGGCTTGGAGACCCCGCACCCATTAATACTATTCCAAATCAGGAATATGTCGTCGATGTATCTTTTCCAAAGCACAATTAATTATGCAAATGGGTTATTATTGTACACAAATTAGTGTTCAAACCAACCCATGAAAAGATTTGTATAGTCAAATGGTGAAGCATACACCCATAGCAATGTCATGTATCTGGAGGAAAAAATCTGTACCATAAAATAAATGTATTTAATTCATTTTCAGACATATAAACCAAACAGTGAGTTGGAGGAATGTTCTCTGACCTAGTATTAACGAAAAACTTTAAAGCACCAAACCCGGATGGGTGCTGCTTTGGCACTGAAGGAAGTCCAACATGCAGCGCTGTCCCTCCCTACACGCAGAACAAGCGCTGTGCGTAGGGCTCCACGATCCATGGGGAGCCCCATTTTCCGCAAGGGGAATGCGCATCGCTGCTGTGAGGCGCGCGTAGAGCACCAAGTCAGCCCAAGGCAGGAGAGAAAAAAAAAGATGAGTAATCGTTGCTGCAATGATTGACAGCACGCAGCATCTGACCAATCAGCGGTCAAATGCGCAGACAGGCAGTTGGATCCATGCAGGTGAAATAAAAATAAAATAAAATTCTGCTTAGGGACCCAATTTGGCCAGGGGTGGCCTTGCCAACATGGACTGAAATGTTTGCATTTTCAGGATTGGTCAGCTGGCTAAGTCTGCGCACACATTTACATGCATGTATCAGTTTAATCACCTTGTAAATAGTCTGCAAACTACCCTGATGCTTTTGATGTAGGTTTATAGTGGAGTAACATGGATTTGCCGTAAGATCTCTTGCGTGAGCGTGAGAGTCACAAAGCATGAGTGTCACGGCAGATGCGTGACAGTTGGCAATGATGCACTATTCACTTTCTTTCATTGTCTGTACAGCTCTGCAATGTAACAGATAATAATATTTAAAATCCAGACTCTAGTCTGAATTCTTTTTTTGTTCTGTGTGGGAGTCCTTCATTGATGCTAACACCCACTAAGCCACACACTCACTTAGCTTTCTGTTTTTTACTTTCTCGTATTACAGTCCTCCATCTTGTTTCAGGAACACCACTCTTTTCCACTGATATGTTAAACTGTTCAATTTAATCCATGCACCTTTCAGTTGCTTTTCCTGGACAGGGTGCTGGAGGGGAGGGTGTCTATCCAGGACAGGACAGGACAGGCTGTCGGAGGAAAACAAGGATGTTTTATTTTTAATAAAATGTTTTATATTTTGCATTCACCTAACGTGGTCAACAATTTTTAATTCAGTATTCGATTAATACATTTTCAGTTTTCTAGTGTTTCTTAGATGAAAGGGTCGTTTATTTTCTGTTATATTAACATCACAAAAATAAGAATGTTAATAATACTATGCATAATTATTTTTACTTGGTGCATCTCCATAGACTACAACTGTTCCATAATAAATCGAATAACAGAAATTGAACAAGCGAAACGATGCATGAAATGAGTGCGGTTAGCTGGAAGGCATCTCGAGCCCAAGTTTATCTACGCGGGAACACGCTGGGCCAATCACAGAACAATGCGCTCGCCGATCGCGGAATAAAACAGGTCAATGAGGTGTTGCTGTACTTCTGAATTTTATAGGTTGCATTATTTAAACAAAGGTTTGTGTTTGATTCTTATTTATCCGTATTGTGTGTATATATGCGTATAGATATAAAACTAAGTGTTTGGGTTGTAGCTGTATTTCGCGGATATGGGAGGACTATTTCTTTTGTCGGACGCGTTCCTTTTCTAAGGTGTCCCTCCGCCCCACGCACAGTACGGTTCAAAAACAGGACATCGGCGCCATTTTGTTGTAGCTACAGATAACGCGGTAGAATCGGTAGTTGGAAGGATTTGCAATTTAGTTGGTTGTAACTTTATGGTCGACGTGTTGGTTGGTCTTGGGGATTGTTGGAAAACGTTCACAGTTTCGCATCTGGCGCTTTTCCGAAAATCAATACGTAAAAAATGTCCGCCGGTGTGATTCGAGGCCCTGCTGGGAACAACGACTGCCGAATATACGTGGGGAACCTGCCGCCGGACATCCGCACCAAGGACGTCGAGGACGTGTTTTACAAGTACGGCGCCATTCGGGACATCGACTTGAAAAATCGCCGAGGAGGGCCCCCGTTCGCCTTCGTGGAGTTTGAAGACCCCAGGTAGCCGGCCACCTGCGCAGAACTCCGTAACCAGCCAGCCAGGCCTAGTCGTTCAAGATGGAAGAACAAGTGAAAGTTTCGCTCAGATGTATCTGGATGCACGACGCAGCCGCCGCACCTCTGCACCTTGTAGCTATTTAAAATACCTATTTGCTGCATTATTGCGCTAATAGACGTATTCGCCGCTTGTTTTAAAGTTACTTTGCTCTTCGTATTGGCTTTATTTAGCGATGGCATTCATCGCCATGGTTACAAGTAGTATTCGGGACGGCAGTGTGATTCATTCTGATGGTTATAAAGTCATATGTTTATAGATTAATGTCCGTGTTTTCTTGTGGTAGTCCAAACGCCAATATTAAAGACTTTGAGTAGCATTGGTCTGTAGTGCGGCTGACTGAGTAGGTGGTCCCCGCTGGTTGTTATTGCCCGGGTTTCCCTTAGTGTAATTCGCTCCCTCACGCTTTCAGAGACGCTGAAGATGCCGTGTACGGGAGGGATGGCTATGATTATGACGGCTATCGCTTGCGCGTCGAGTTCCCAAGGAGTGGGAGGGGTACCGGCAGAGGGGGCATCGGAGGCATAGGTGCCCCCCGGGGACGCTACGGACCCCCCTCCAGACGATCCGAGTACAGAGTAATAGTTTCAGGTAAGGAGCTGCATGTTTGTCTAAGTGCTGTCGGCTGTAATTTCCCCGTTGGATGCAGTCTGCACAATTCTGGAAGATCTGCATCAGGGTAGAATGCCGAAGAATGAGGTCTAACGTGCCTTCGCTTGAGGCGGCCACAGTGACTCCTGGCTTCTCTGCCCGCAGGCCTCCCACCGAGTGGTAGCTGGCAGGATCTAAAGGATCACATGCGTGAAGCAGGTGATGTATGTTATGCAGACGTTTTCCGCGACGGCACTGGTGTTGTGGAGTTTGTTCGCAAAGAAGACATGACCTACGCCGTCCGAAAGTTGGATAACACTAAGTTCCGGTCACATGAGGTAGGTGTGACGCTGGGCTCGTTGGATATGCGTGCCGTGAGTTTGTGTGTCTGTTTTGAGGTAAGCAGAGAGTTATTGTGGGCAATATGGGCAGTGTACGTGTGTGATCATTTGGGGGAGTGGGGTGCTGAGACAAGGGTTCATGTGTGATGGCAGGTTGATTCACCGGAAGCTTGATTTCTCTCCCCACCTCACCCCACCCCAGGGTGAGACAGCATACGTACGTGTGAAAGTGGATGGCCCTCGGAGCCCAAGCTACGGGCGGTCACGCTCACGCAGCCGCAGCCGGAGCGGAAGTCGCAGTCGAAGCAACAGCCGCAGCCGGAGCTTCTCGCCGCGCCGTAGCAGAGGCTCTCCCCGCTACTCACCCCGGCACAGCCGCTCGCGCTCACGCACTTAGAGTCCGCCCGCTGCCGGCCATTTTCCATGCGTTGCTGTGTTCGGTGGATCCACATGTTGTAAACAATCTCTTCCCTTTTTTGTTTTAACCCTTCCGTGTTTTATTAAAGTTTGTTACGTGTTCTCCCTGTCCCTGCTCCCATTTGATAGAATAGGGTTTATGGTGCTTATCCCAGCCTTTCCTCCCACCCCAACCCCCCTTCCTGTTTTGTCCTATTTGGTACATTTTTAATTCAGTCCTCCACCCATCCAATTTTTTTCGAAGTGAAAGTTGGTCTTATTACAATTCATGGTGAACTTTGAAGCTGTGATTTCTGTAACTTTGTGGATGGCTACCATGCTTGTTCTGTTTGGGGTGGTGGGAGTTGGATTGCAAAAATGTATTTTATTTTACCCTTTGATGTGTCTTCCTATAGACATCTGACGAAGGATTAAAGAATGCTTTGGAATAAAGGATTGTGAAGCACAGTTCATTCATATTAGGAAAAGCGTAATTGGAGGACGAGGAACAGTCAGATCAATAAAGGAGCCAATGGTATGGCAAGTGCTTCAGTGACCTATTAAATACTTGGCAGTTAATTTTTAAAACAAATTCCTGTATTCGTGTGATTAAGTATATAACTCATGCTTTGCTGTACTTGTACGTTGCCCCAACACCATGTCATTTGTCCCATTGATCAGTACTGCTAAGTATGCATGTTTTTATGTTTTGTTATGATGCTTTGCACCATCAGGCAGGGTTTTAGTTTTAAAAAAACGGGAGCATTTTATTCTAGTGCCTGTAGCATTGATGTAGTGAAACCTGAAAAGGCATCAGTCTTCTTAGAAGCTGAATGTCGTTCATGATTTCCTTAAGCTTGTATGAAAGCTGTGACTGCAGCCTTTCTATTAAGCCTGTATGTTTACTTGATGACTTTGGTCCATTGTGTTTTCAAGTTGCTTGTGTGGTTTGTCACTGCGTTGCCTGGGAGCTGATCATTGTCTGGCGTTTTCAGATAAAACCTATAACCAGCCGTATGATCTCCTCCTGGACGCACGGTGAGAGATGAGTGGCTGTTTTTGGTTTAGTCCTGACTCTAACTCACCTCCTTTCTTTGATTTTGCTGGAATTTTAAAGGTTTGGATTGGAGGAGTGGCTCACTGGATCCCAATCCTTGGAGCCGGATCCTTGGATCAGTTCATAATCAGGATAGGATAGGGATGGATGGAAGCGTGGAGCGGGATCATTTTACCGGGAACCGTAGGAGTGGATTCCCCCCCTCGACAAACCACAAATACGGAGTTGTAAAACAACTTGAAATTGGCCAACTTTAAATTTTATTTTTTATTTTCAAGGAGCTGCAAATGTGACAGGATTTGGCTTTTACTTTTTTGTGTGAGGAGCAAATCGAGGACCAGGAGGCTGGATGAATCTCCTTGGATGGAATACACAATGAGGATCTTGGTAAATCGTGGGGAATCAGGATGGGAGGGATGGGGCTTCATTGCTGATTTAGCCTATAGTTTAATTCTTGGGTTGTTGCTTTTAGTCATGGATAAAATGTGATTTGCCTTTCTGCAGGTTTTTTTTTTTTAATACCCCTCAATAAAATTTTGAAAGTATATACAGTGATTGCTTCGGAGTGATTTGTTTACTTACACAATTTGTCAGTTAAGTGTTTGTTTTGTGGCTGGTGTTTTAGTCAATCCTTATTTATATACCACCGTTTTAACCACAGGGTTTACAAAGTGCTTTACAGACACTTAAAGGAACTATAAAAAGCATACACATAGAATGTTTTATTAGCTTTGGCGTCTCAACAACTTTGAGCTTTTAATATACGTAAGTTGGGCGGTTGTTTCAAAATGTATGGACGCCACAGTCCAGCTGCACTTTGCATGAAAGATTAACGAACTGTTGATTAATCGACTCAAGTTGTAGCCGGTCGGTATTTCCTCATTAAACGCTTGCCAGGCTTCCTTTGGTAGAAGATCAAGCATCTGACCTTTTGTAGGTAATTAATTTCTTTGCTGGCTGTGAAAGCGATAAAGTTGTATGCTAATTGATCGCGGTACAAAGCTGCACTAGTGGATTTGCCAGTTTCACCGTTGTTTTCCCACCTAAGTACAAATGACAAGTAATTGTGAACGGAGCGTGGGACTTGACCAGGCACTATGGTTTCTTGTAGAAAGAATCATTTGACTTTTCAAGGCAAGTGCCAACTTATGATCAGAAAACGTGCCAAAGAAAACATGAAGGTATTTATACCTGAGAAAATCCAGGTGATCAAATAAAAACAAGATGAGGAATACATGGCATTTTATTACTGCAAGCCTGTATCACTGTGTGACAGAAACTACAAATATGTTTCTTGTGAAAGGAAAAGCCATTTCAATATAACGGTATGAAACGACATATAGTAATAATGTTGCGATATTATTCAGTGTTGTCTGATGCAGGCATTACAGTATGCTTGCCCTCTGCCTGTCCAATACTGAAGTAATATTTTCTGGTTGTCACAAAAGAACCGAAGACTTGATTTTGGGGGCTCCTGCGTAAACATCGGGGAATAATGTGATTTCTAGAGACCCCGCCTTTACTCATCCACGGTAATGATGAGTCGCTGACTCGCTAAAGGGTGAATCGGTCAACCGCTTTACAGTGCATTTCCTCGTAGCTTGGGCTACTTACGGAAGATGAGACGGGAGAACGAGCACTGCCCGCCGTCCCGTCCCTGGGAGGTCAGCAAGGTGATCGCCCCTCCCCCTCCAGTTTTGAGGGCGTGGCCCACATCTACACCGACCCGCCCCCTTATCCCGGTGCATTGTGGGACGAAATAAGACGCGGCCAGATGGAAGCTAGTGGAAAACGCTCGGGGCATGCGGGGAGAGTCGGTGCTTCAGCCAATGGAAGGCGCCGCGCCGTGCGGCAGTGCGGTGGGGGGAGGCATGCTGGGGGGCGGGGGGAGTGCTTTAACTGGGCAGACTCCCGCAGATCAGTGACGGTCAGATCAGTGCATTTAACGGGAGTCCGGTAGTCACTTTGTACGAAGGCGGTAAGCAGACGAAGGTGAGCTAGGTGCGGGACTGAGCTGCTGTGGAGCAGGTCGTTAAATATCAGCCGGAGGTGAGCTGGATTGCATTGTGCAGTTACGCGTGCGTAAGGTTTTACTAGTGTATTTTGTTGATCGAAAAGTTGTTTTTCCCCCATCGTTTTGGAGTGACAAAATAACTGGCGTCGCTCTAATAAATGTATTAGTGAGCTGCTGAGAGTACGTGCCCACGTTAAACGCCCCCTTATGCAATGGCGTTTGCCGTTTGTCTTTCTTTTACAAAGACGCCGTTTTGTGAAGTTGCAGTTAAGATCCATAACGTGACACTTTTTACTGACGTTTCAACGGCCGGCTCGTTTGTATGCCACTGGCATGCGCCGTTTTACTCGGATACCTGTTTTATTTGTCTGTAAGTGAATTTAGCCCGTAGAGAGAATGTAATAATCTTGTATTAGGGGGTGGGAGTAATTAAATGTGCGTCTACTCCAGTTGATGGCTGTGATGCAGATAACCTCGGATGTGCCGGTCCCATTATCGCTGACACATGTTTAGTGCGATGCTCGCTTGCAAACGCCAAGGACGCTCTAGGAATAAACACGCTCAGGCTTGCTTACAGGTGGAACTGTGCGTACTAATCGCTGATATGCCTTTGGTTGCATTTGTTTTTTTTAATTTTTATAATAAACGCTATTAGATGGCTAATTGTAAGCACATTGATATTTATTTGAAAGGGAATGCACACCTCCCACCCACCCGAAGCATATGGCAGCTGTGTTAACTTCAGTGACGTGGTAAGGTAGTTAACGCGAAAGTACTTAGGGCACACACCGGAAGTTCAGTTTACTTGCCCGGGTCATGCGTTTAAGCACATGCTTAAATACTAGTAAGACTCATGGTCGGGTGTTCTAAGCGGTCTTATTGGTTAGGCGGTGTAAAAGCCAGGATAGTGGTGCTGTTCTTTAACCCCCCCCCCCCATGGCTTAAATTAAGTCTCTCAAAAAAGCCCTGGACTCTATCCATGCAGTGGTCCTGCGGAGATTTACTAGTGCTGCGGCCCTCGGTGATGTCCAGAGGGCGGTGCTCGGATTTTAAGAAGGAGCAGCCGGTGCAGCATATCCACAGGACAGTGGTGTGCTTTTTTAAGGGGCTCCATAACGATCTCTAATTACTCACTCTTCTATGGGATAGACTGCTGTAAGTAATCATTCAGCACTAGAGTTGCTGGGTGGATCTTTTGAAGCAGATCATGGAGACACAGAATGTCAGGTTTGGGGGCGGGGGGTGTGAGATTTCCCTCCAGCGCCATAGTTACAAACCATCATCATATTAATGGTTTGGCCCAGCTCCGCCATTCTCTGTGACCAAAGACCGCGGTGTTACCTGGTAGCCTGTGTGTGATGGTGATGGTATGCTTCAATACCTGAACAAAACCATTTCAGATGTAATCAAAATGAGGGCCAGTTTGCATGCAACTGCAAAACAAAGGCACTGAATGGTTTTTTAATTTATGGGAAAGGTCGTCATTGGGACTGTCGGTGATGTTACTCAACAGTTACCGTTCACATCTTGGGTTTTTAAATAGGAAGAACCATATGTTGTGTATTTGCGAGTAAAATGGCTGCCAGTGTTAAGCAAACCCGGTTTCTGAATCCCAGTAGAGCAGAATGGCCAAGTCTTCATGCCTAAATGGTGTTTGGGTTGCTATGAGTCTTAGCCCAGTGTTTTCTTAGTAGCTATGAATACATATTGTCATGATTTGGAGAGGTGCTGAAGGAAATATGACTTGGTCTTGGCAACGGTCTTCCAGCCATTTGCACTGAATGCTTATGAAAGATTTTATAAAGGGACCTCAACAGACTGTCAGGTATATTTGCTCCTGCTATATTTGTTTGGAGCTGCTGGGTCTGTGATATGATCGCATGCTTCAGTTAGACAGACTGAGAAATGGAAGGAATTTCAGGCTATTCAAGGAGCTGCGTTTTGTTGGCTCAAGATGGACTCTGGGTACCGGGGGGCATGATTTGATTTGTCTGTCTGAGCGTAACTTGACTGAGGCGTCTGCGCGGATTCTCTCTGGTACAGCAGACAAGATGACTGACAGGAAGGCAGTGATCAAGAACGCTGACATGTCTGAGGACATGCAGCAGGATGCTGTGGACTGTGCCACCCAGGCCATGGAGAAGTACAACATTGAGAAGGACATCGCTGCTTACATCAAGAAGGTGAGGCTGAGGCTGGCGCCTCAGAGGCTGATGGACCTAATCCTAGGCCCCCTAGTGGCGGTTAGAGGTGACAGCAAAGATGGATCTGGATGTTTGTCTTCTAGTTGCTGTGGTTTTGGTGTTTCTGAATTCTTATTTGAGGTCTGTGTACTGGTAGATGAAGCTGTCAGATGAGGACTTAATTGTATACAATAGAACTGTAATTACACCCCCCCTCCCCCCCAGAAATGGAGTGAACACGTCTTAGGGATTTTAACTTTCATCAAATGACATTGGCACCTACGAGTTAAATTTATTTATTGGAGTTCAGGCTTGCGTGGTACACTAAACCTGCACAAAGCTGTTGTCCACTCTGTCGTAATGGGCGATTGTCTAAAACATCGTGGGGGTGCTTGTGGTTTGTAAACGTTTAAGTTGATCATACCTCTTGTTGCTGTCTCTTGTTTATATACATCAGGAGTTCGACAAAAAGTACAACCCCACGTGGCACTGCATTGTGGGTAGGAACTTCGGAAGCTACGTCACCCACGAGACCAAGCACTTCATCTACTTCTACCTGGGGCAGGTGGCCATCCTGCTCTTCAAGTCTGGCTGAGTGCGGACCCCCCCACCCCACACCGCGGTGGCCC